TCGAGGTAGCCTCCTGATTTTTATCCGCCACACGTGGGTGTGAGACCAGCCCAACTGGTTGTGCCGCTGCTGCCCCTCGCGCCTCCGCCCCTCCTACCAGTCTGGATGTGGCTGCTGCTTTAATTCCGTAGTTGTAGGACTTCCATTCAGCTTGATTTCAGGCGGTTTTGAATGATGGTTGTTCTGTAGTTTAGTTGTAACTTTGATGTGGTTGTGGGAGGACGCGATACCGCGTTTACCTACGCCGCCATCTTGACCGGAAGTCCAAGAAGAACAAACTTTGAGGAATCATGCTACCTGATATCAAACTATACTACAAGGCCATTGTAATCAAAGCAGCAAGGTACTGGCATAAAAACAGACATATAGGTGAATGGAACAGAATAGAAAACCCAGAAATAAACCCATACCTTTATGGTCAATTAATATTCAACAGAGGAGACAAAAGTATACAATGGGGTAAAGATAATCTATTAAATAAATGGTGCTGGAAAAATTGGACAGATACAAGCAAAACATTAATTTAGACCATACACAAAAAAAGCTCAAAATAGATAAAGTCTTAAATGTAATACTTGGAACCACAAAAATTCTAGAAGAAAACACAGGTAGTAAAATCTCAGACATCTCTCATAGCAATTCTTTTTCTGATATGTCTCCTCATTCAAGGGAAACAAAAGAAAAAATGAACAAATGGGACTACATCAAACTAAAAATCATTTGCAGAGCAAAGGAAACCATCAAGAAAATGAAAAGACAAACCACTGAATGGGAGAACATATTCACCAATGCTATATCTGATAAGGGCTTAATATCCAAAACTTATAAAAAACTTATACAACTCAACACAAAAAAACAAACAATCTAATTAAAAAATGGGCAAGAGATCTGAATAGACACTTCTCCAAAGAAGACATACAGATGGCCAATAGACATATGAAAAGATGCTTAATGTTACTAATCATCAGAGAAATGCACATTCAAACCTCAATAAGATATCGCCTCACACCTGTCAGAATAGCTGTCATCAATAAGTCAACAAACAACAAGTGTTGCAAGGATGTGGAGAGAGAATGCAGATTGGTGCAGCCACTGTGGAAAGCAGTATGGAGCAACCTCAAAAAATTAAAAATGGAGCTGTCTTTTGACCCAGTTCCATCAAATTCAGAAGTCTTTACACTTAGAAGGAAATCTATTTAAATATCATAAGAGGTAAAGAATAAAAATAATCACTGCAAGTGACATGACAGCCTGGGCGGGGTTGCAGATTCTCGTGAGTGGGAAGAAAAGACAGATCATTTGAAGTATGACTCCAGCTCAGGAAGGCAGCTGTAGCAGGCTGGGAGACAACCTGTGTGGAGGGTCTGATGTAGTGACTATGAGTAACAGGATTCAATATGCGCCATTAGGGTCCCTGTCAAGAATCCTGTCCCTTTAAAATCACCGTCCAATATCTCAACCAGTAGACTAGGTGTTCCCCAAAATTGTCTGCCATGAACGAATCATTTCCTTAACCATAAGCCTGTTTTAAAAAGGAGAAACTTAGCCTGGCTGGTGTGGCTCAGTGGTTGAGCATTGACCCATGCACCAAGAGGTTGCCGGTTTGATTCCCAATCAAGGTACATGCCCAGGTTGTGGGCCCGATCCCCAGTGGGGGACATGCAGGAAGTGGCCAGTTGATGTTCTCTCTCATTGATGTTTCTATCTCTCTCTCCCTCTCTCTTCCTTTCTCTCTAAAAATCAATAAAGAAAAAAAAACAACTTTTCTTTTATACTTTTTATCTATTGACTTCTTGCATTGTGGAAGAACTCCTCACTTCACAGCTTTTATATGCATTGTTCCTATAGTCCACAGTGACTCTTGCACTACCTTACTGCAAATAGAGCCTTGTTGAATGAGCCCTATTGTAGGGAGTACATCAAGATGGTCGTGACCCAACTTCCCATTTCAACAATGAGCTGGAAGTTAATGCATTCAGAGGCTGAGGATTCCCAAGCAAAGGAGATTGGAGGTTACAGAAATCACTAAGGAGCTGGTATCACATAAACAGCCAATGTTGATTTTGCACTGAGTTACATAAAATGTTTCTTTACTTTCAAACATAATCAAATACAAACGAATGAAGTATGAGGTACCTCCAAAGGTGGGGTTGGGAAAAGCTCAGGCACGGAAACCGCAGATTTTTGGAAGAGCTGAGATAAAATACAAATTAAAGTAAGGGAAGGCAACCTCTCCTGACCCCGCCCCTGTGAAGACTTCCATTAAATTATAATAATGGTGTTCAAATTTATTGCTGGTTTTAGGGACTAGAGGCAGAAAGTCCCAAACTGTGAACTTAGACCTGAACCAATTGTTCCTCTTCTGAGAACTCACTGGGTTGCCTCTCATTCATATTCTGTCTGTGCAGAGACTGGAGGAATGGACATTTCTGCTCTGTCATATAGACTGTTGGAGCCCAGATGGTGTGGTTCAGTGGACTGAGCATTGTCCCATGGACATTCCCAGTCAGGGCACATGCCTGAGTTGCAGGCTCCATCACCAGTAGAGGGCGTGCAGGAGGCAGCTGACTGATGTTTCTCACATCGATGTTTCTATCTCTCCCTTTCTAAGAAAAAAAAAAAAAAAATATATATATATATATATATATATATATATATATATATATATATAAAATAAAGGAATGTTGGAAATTTTGCATTTATCAGCTTGCAATTTTCCAGCCTTAATCTGGTTCATGGTAATTATTCCTAGAGTTTTGCTCAGACCTAGATATCAGCAGTGCCAATTTCATGTAACTGCAGCTGATGACTCACTCTTTTTTTTTCTTTTTCTTTTTCTTTATTTTTAAATTACAGTCAGCATACAATATTATATATTTCAGGTGTACAACCCCATTATTGGGCATTTATATAACATAGGAAATGGTTATCTCGATTAATCTAGTACCCACTGTACCCAATCTAGTATACCACATATAGTTATTATAATATTATTGATTATATTTTCTATCTGTATTTTACATCCCCATGACTATTCTGTAACTACCAATCTGTACTTCTTAATCTTATCACCTTTTTCTTTTTCTTTTTTTTTCTTTTTTATTCTCACCTGAGGACATTTTTCCATTTTTTGTTGAGATAGAGTGGGAGGGGGAGAGAGAGAGAAAGAGGAAGAGAGAGAGAGAGAAACATCGACATGAAAGGGACACATCGAGTGGCTGCCACCCACACAACCCAACCAGGGCTGGGGACAAACTGCAACCGAGGTACATGCCCTTAGCGGGAACCGAACTCTGGTCTCTCTGGACCACAGGCCGACACTCTAACCACTGAGCCAAACCAGCCAGGGCCTTATCACCTTTTTGATGACTCACTCTTTTGAAACACAAAGCTGCCAAGCCATAGAAATTTGCTACACTAGAAAAAAACCCTGAGATACAGGACACACATGGGACAGAAGGACATGATCACCTGAGGACTGTGGTATGTGGGCATTTCACATGCCAGAAATGCAGTAGGTTTTATTGCATTTTCAAGGTCAACATTTAGGCACCCACAGCAGTTGTTCTCAACCCTTACATTAAAAAAAATAAATGTGTCTGAAAACTGGTTAATAGAAAAGCTAAGGTGTATAAAAGGACTACCAAGTGTCTGAAATTATTTATTGATTCAATAACCTTTACCTTTTTAGTGCTTTCACTAATACACTCAGAACAAAAGCACATACAGTGAGCTATAATAGATGATCACCTTCTATATTGTTTTGTGTAGACCTTCCTAAATGTTTTCCTGAGATACAAATATAGCACATCTTTCTAATCACTTTTATAAACTAATAATTTAAGCAGAAACATTTGCTAGTTGAAAAGAAAAATAAAAATGACTGAGTAAAATTAATCTTTAAAAAAAAAAGAATATATCCAGTTCTTTGGCCTAAACAATTCACTCACCTTCCTTTTCAGTGTCACTGTGATCATACCTGCCTGGGAAAGCCTCCTGGATTTGTCAGGCCTGCAGGATTCAACTGCCCACCTTTCACCTGCAGCTGCTCACATTTCACCTGCAACTGCCCACATTTCACCTGCAGCTGCTCACGTTTCACCTGCAGCTGCCCACGTTTCACCTGCAGCTGCTCACGTTTCACCTGCAGCTGCCCACATTTCACCTGCAGCTGCTCACATTTCACCTGCAGCTGTCCACATTTCACCTGCAGCTGCCCACGTTTCACCTGCAGCTGCCCACGTTTCGCCTGCAGCTGCCTTCTTCGTCTATATTTGAGTCATCCTTCAAGGATTCCTGAAGCACTCCTTACCTTTCCTGTCATGGCAGAGACTGGCCTTTTTGACCAAAATTAACTGTCTCCATAATTCAAGTTTGTCTCAGAGATCCTAAATTTATAACATGTGACATTCAGAAAGGGCCTGTGATTCATCCAGTTCAATTCCCTTACTTTAGAAAGGACATGGTGATTGCCCAAGCCCTAGAGGCTGGTTAATGGCAGAGCCAGAATTAGAAACAAGATTTCTTGACTCTCCACTGGGGTCCACTTAGTCTGCAGACTTTACCCAGATTTTCTGTAAAAGGTTATTCCTTGTTTTACCCCTCAGGTATTTCAGCAGAGGGGATGGTATGGTGGTCATGCTGTGCTATTGATGACTTTTTTCTCTGTGGATAATATCATAACTCTCCTTTACCAGTCTCTTCTGACTTTGCAACCATATGTCCTAGGGATCATCCTTTTAATCTTCTCCCAAAGAGTGCACAGATCAGAATGACTCTGGCTTACTTTTCCCAGAGGAGAAGTCAGACGTTACAGAAAGACAAGTTTCATCAAAAAAGTAATGTCAGTGTGACAGTTTTTCTTCATGATGTAAAGGAGGGGTGCAGTGGAATGACAAAAACAAAAATTTGAGGCATCTAAACCAAGGTTCATGTACTCATTTATTTATTATTACAAGATAAACAAGTGTAATTCCATGTTTAACAAGTACAAATGGTAGGAAGCCCAGGAACCATGAGCATATCTGTAAGGCAAATGAAACAAATGTTTTCCATAGCATGGGCATCAAACTTAAGATGACCTGGGAAGATTCACTCCAGGCCCTGAATACCAAGACTGATGTGCAAAATAAACTTATAATCCAAAGTATTTTCAAACTTAAAATAAAACATTGAAAGTCAAATACTTTAACAAAATTCAAAATACAACCAGTATACCAAGAATCATCCTCAGCCAAACAAAAGATGAAGAGACAAAACCATGAACAAAACAATGCAAAAAAAAAAAGAAAAGAAAAAGTTCATCCAAAAGACTAGATGCCCTTCAAAATTACATCTCTTCTTCTGACTCTTGTTCTCGTTCAACACTTTTCAGGAGTCCAACTTCTGAGGGGCAGAACCTGTTAAGTCGAGATTTAACCAACCTGAGGAGAATGAAAGGCATCTCACGTTATGGTGTTTACGATTAAAAACCCAGAGCAATATATATTTATAATACAACAAACTCAAAATTATGTGTGCAAATGGGAGAGACACCCCAAAAGAGAAAATCACCTTTATTTGTCTTTGAACATTTGTGGATTAAAGCAGAGTATAATAAATGAACAGATACAATGTAGTTTTTGAATGCATAACATAATTATTTGATTAGGCATCAGAAGATGCCTAATTATCCATAACTTTTATAATTTCTAAAACAGACAAGACAATCTCTAGGCTGTAGGTAGCCCAGATGAAACCCTGCACCTAGCTGTGTATTATAAGTAGGAGCCTTCTTCTGAAAAGGAGTGCATAAAGCATCTCCTTTCCCTTGTAAAATCTGGGCTGTGTTACAGGCCCTACTCACACCTTCAGAGAGGTGCTTTTATGCAGGCCACAGGCTGCTCCACTGCATGTGATGGTCTATGATGAATTAAAAAGTTAGAAGATGGCCCTGGCTGGTTTGGCTCAGCGGTTAGAGCGTCGACCTGCGGTCCTGAGAGACACGGGTTTGGTTCCCGCTAAGGGCATGTACCTCGGTTGCAGTTTGTCCCCGGCCCTGGTTGGTTGTGCGGGTGGCAGCCACTCGATGTGTCCCTTTCACATCGATGTTTCTCTCTCTCTCTCTCTGTTCCTCTCTCTCCCTCCCAATCTACCTGAACAAAAAATGGAAAAATGTCCTCAGGTGAGGATAAAAAAAAAAAAAAAGTTAGAAGATGAGTAGATAAAAAAGTTGCAGTACATATACACAATGGAATACTATGCAGCTATAAAAAAAAAAGGCTCTATTACTCTTTGAGACAGCGTGGAGAGACCTGGAGAGTATGAGGTTAAGCGAAATAAGTCAGTCAAAGAAAGACAGTTGTCACATGATCTCACTTATATGTAGAATCTAATGAACAAAATAAACTGATGAATAAAATAGAAACAGAGGCAAGGAAAAATGGCACAGACTGGCAAACTTCAGAGGGAATGGAGGGGTGGGGTGGGTGGGAAGAGATTGACCAAAGAACTTATACGCATATATGCATTGCCCGCGGACACAGACAGTAGGGTGGTGAAGGCCTGGGGGAGTATGAGAACTAGGAGGAGGGGGCAATGGAGGGTCAGGGGGGACTCGATAAAACTCTCAACAATAAAGATATTTTAAAAACACATAATTTTATTTTATTTTATTTATTTATTTTTATCCTCACCCGAGGACATTTTTCCATTTTTTGTTCAGACAGAGTGGGAGGGAGAGAGAGAAACATTGACATGAAAGGGACACATCGAGTGGCTGCCACCCGCACGACCAACCGGGTCTGGGGACAAACTGCAACCGAGGTATGTACCCTTAGTGGGAACTGAACCCAGGTCTCTCTGGACTGCAGGCCAAGGCTCTAACCACTGAGCAAAACCGGCCAGGGCAAAAACACATAATTTTAAAATAGAACTTTAAAAATAGAGAAACACAGTGACTATCTGATTAAAAATAAATTTTCTACTAAAATTTTTTTTAAAAGTTAGAAGTGCACTTCACCCTTGTGACTATTTTCACAGATTAAGAGAATCTGTAGGATTTGAGGAATCAGCAATTATAATTTTTGACTTTGGAAGATGCTAAGCTTTTTAGCAGCAGAAACTCAGTAGGCTCTTCCCTTCTCTGATGTAATAAGAACTAGAAAAAGATTTTTCTGTGCATGATTATTTGTAAAGACTTTATTGTATAACCATATCAATAAAACATATTTAACTTCTAGAAATACGTAGGAATAAGCAAACAAACTTGGTAAACCAAATTATCAAAATCATTCTCCTTTTATGAAAAACTTTCCCAGCCTGTCTGCATCTTTATCCTTATTTTCTGCCTTTCTTCTTCCAATGAATTTCTGGCCTGCCCCTACCAACATGCATTGTCTTTAATTGTGCTCTGGATCCCACTAGAATATAAGGTTTATAAGAGCAGACACCTCATCTTATTTACTGCCCTAACCCTAACCAGAGTCTAGAACAATGCCTGGCACATAATAGTGGCTCAATACACATTTAATCAACCAATGGCCTTTGAAGCAATCAGCCAGGAGTTCACCAATTCAAAGATAATTCATAATTCTTCAGTCACTTCCAACTCACCACTAACTTCTTCAATACATAACAACAACTAAGCAGTATTCAGCAACATCTGTTTACTCGTCAAGAGCCAAGGAAAACTCAAAATCATTTGTCTTTTTTTTTTTTTTTTTGGTACATGTCCCTAGCAGGAACTGAACCCGGGACTCTCTGGTCCACAGGCCGATGCTCCAACTGCTGAACCAAACTGGCTATTGCTCAAAATCATTTGTCTTGATTATTACTTGACAATTGATGTTGCTTCTAACGTCCTCAACTCTTCAAGGCATTGTTCTCGTGAAAGGTTAATAGTCTTAAGTTAAAGTTTAGGACAGTGTTGGTATCATTTTTAAAAAATCCACACATTGTAAAAGTTATTTCCACATTGTAAAACTTCAATGCATGCCAAATGAAATGAATTACTTAGTTAATTTATTCTTAGATTCATTCTTGATAACTTCTGTGAAAAATAAAACAAAGACATGGCTACTTATTACAAATTAACACAGACCCTAGTAATTACTCCTGTTTCCCATTCCTCCTCTCTGGATTGTATCTACTGTTGCTATCAGCCATGAAGATGAATGTTTAGATGCTTTAAATATGCCCTGTCTGTGCCCTGAAGCTCAAGGTACATGTACATGCAGAAATGGCTACTGGGGACAAACTGAGTAATGGAGTCAGAAGAAGAAATGCAATTAATTACTAGTTCCCGAATGATGCAAATCCAAGGAAAAGAAGGTTAAGGTGTGTCTGGGCTTTTGTTTGCATATGTTCTCCTCAATTAATATGAGAAAAAGCAGAGCTGAGACTCTAGGTATACCTCCAGAGTCTATCTGGAAATCAAGCTTCCAGGAGACTAATTATCATATGCCTGGAATTTTGTCATCATCTCTTTTTTTTTTTTTTAATCCTCACCCGAGGACATTTTTTTTTTTTTACTTTTTATTCAGATAGAGCGGAGAAAGAGAGAGAGAGAAACATCGACATGAAAGGGACACATCGAGTGGCTGCCACCCACACGACCCAACCAGGGCCGGGGACAAACTGCAACCGAGGTACATGCCCTTAGCGGGAACCGAACCCAGGTCTCTCTGGACCGCAGGCCGACGCTCTAACCGCTGAGCCAAACCGGCCAGGGCATCATCTCTATTTTGTTCTTCACAATAGCTCACATGAATCATTGTTTGGAAAACCAAACTGGAAATGAGCAATATTTCACAACCCATAGAGAGGGGCTTTTGAAATAGTTCTGTGCAACAGAGGTGTTTAGATATGAAATTCAGCTGGCTGGTGTGGCTCAGTGGATTGAGTGTCGTCCCGTGGACTGAGAGGTCCTGGGTCAATTCCCAGTCAGGGCACATGCCAGGGTTGTGGGCTCAATTCCCAGTAGTGGGGTGTGCAGGAGGCAGCTGATCAATGTATCTCTCTCACATCTCTCTCTAAAAAATCAATACAAATATATTTTAAAAATAAATGAACTATCAAACACTTTCTATACAGAATCTAAAAAAGAAAAAAATATAAAATTTAGTAAAACATAATAAGATTCCCAGATAGGTTTCTTCTTCTGTGCTGTCATAATCAAGACTGCAGGCATGGGACAGGATGAGGCAATCTTTTTTTTTTTGTCATCCTCACCCGAGGACATTTTTCCGATTTTTGTTGAGATAGAGTGGGAGGGAAAGAGAGGAACAGAGAGAGAGAGAGAAACATCAACGTGAAAGGGACACATCGAGTGGCTGCCACCCGCACAACCAATCAATGCCACGGACAAACTGCAACTGAGGTACTCGCCCTTAGTGGGAACCGAACCCGGGTCTCTCTGGACGGCAGGCTGATGCTCTAACCACTGAGCCAAACTGGCCAGGGCAGAATGAGGCAATCTTTGAACCATTTTTCTGGAAAACTGGGAAGTACAGCTTCATTTTTCAGCGATTTGGGGTGCAATGGTTCCATAACTCCATTTTACTTCCATGGTGATCTTTGTGATATGTGAAACAAATTCTGATACAATGTTCTGAAAATCCATCACCTGTCACTGAGTCATAAACCACTCAGCAGTCAAACCCTGACAAGGAGATGTTCAAAGCTCATTATGATTACAGGACTAAATTAGCCTGCCATGTGAACTCTTTGCAAGTCTTTACTGATTCTTCATGATATTTTGTAAGCTACTGCTTAAGTTCATATCAAAAATATATCAAAATATGAACTCCTGGTCTTATATTTTCAAGTGTAATATGAGAACAAAATTGAAAAGCACACAAAACATAATTACCAAACAAATGAACCCTATATTCAAGTGGCTCTGAAATAGATCTATTAAAACAGATTAAGTGTTTATTGAGTTCCTACTACATATTTGACAGTGCGCCAAGAGCGTGGGAAATATGAAAAAGATCTTTTCCTTAAGGCAACACAATCTAGCTAACATAAGATTAACATGAGCTAAACACATGTTAGATCACGATTGTTAAAATGTGTAGTAGAGACTGAAGTGTTATAAAAACTCATGAAGGGAGATAGCAAGGCCTAGGATAATCACAGAAATTTTTATAGAGGGGATAAGCATTCAATTTGATATGCCAGGTAGAGGGAACTACATGGTCAAAAGGTTAAAGGGAGGGGAGGCAGAGGTTTGAAAAAAATAAACACAATATTTCTGGTTTCTAGAGAACTATATATGGATATGAGAATCATTATGGGTCTGAAGGTTTTTGAAACAGGAAAAGACAGTAGTCTTTTGGCTCTGGAAAGAAGCTGACATGCAGCAGAGAGGCTCCCTGAATGCTGGCCCAGAGGTCAGCCTAGAACAACAGAGGAAGAAACCAAGTTTCACTCAATAGCAGAGCCAGCCTTAACAACCAGCTCATGCACATGCTTTTGGGAATGGAATAGGACTCACAGAAATTAATCAACGAGAAGATAATATTTCCCCGTACCCAAAGCACTTAGACCTGTAGAAAGAGGCACCTATGGGTCAAAGTGGACTGACCCAAAGCCTAGCACAGACAGCTGGGAGCCATTTTCTTAATGGTTTTCTTGCTCAGAGAACCAGCACCAAAGTTACTTCAGAAGCAGAAAGAAACACAAAGCAAGAGAGGTGATGTGAGGCCCAAATCTAGAGAAGAGTAGAAAGTTAGTTTTGGCCGAGGCTGAGACTCCACTGGGCCAAAAGCAGCTACTGCATTTTAGGAATCTAGAGAGCCTGATAGATATGTACTGTCCAATATGGTGGTCACTATGAATATTTAATTAATTAAAATTAATGTGGCACTAGGAACATGTTAACATGCTTAATAACCACACATAGCTCGTGGCTACCATAATGAAAGATGCAGATAAGGAACACTGTGATCAGAGCTGAGGTCTAAAGGATTGGATATTGGAGGCTGCATGCCTAGTAGTTGGGATCAGCCAGCCACTTGTGGTTTGGCATTAGCTACCTTAGAGAGAGGACCTATGTTCATGCCTTTCTGGTCCTACTCATTCTTCAAATTGCAGCTTACTTCTTAATTGTGAGTAGGCCTCTTCTGACCTCCAATAGTTCTTCCTTCTTTTACTATTTCTACTTATTACATTGTACTTAAATTATCAGTCTCTCTCCGACAGGGTCTATACTTATGCATTTTTGATACAGAAGAAAAAAGAGAAGAACAAGAAAAAGAAGAATAACAAAAAGGCCCGGCCGGTATAGCTCAGTGGTTGAGCATTGACCCATGCACCAAAAGGTCACCAGTTTGATTCCTGGTCAGGGCACATGCCTGGGTTGTGGGCCATATCCCCAGTGTGGGGCATGCAAGAGGCAGCCAATCCATGTTCTCTCTCATCGATGTTTCTATCTCTCTCTCCCTTTCCCTTCCTCTCTCTCTGAAAATCAATAAAGAATAAAACAATTCAAAAAGAACAAGAACAAGAATAACTTTTATTGAGCTCTTATTATGGTCTGAGCAGTTTAAACACATGATCTTATTTAGGTACTATTATTACCCCCATTTTTCAAACAATAAAACTGAGTCTTAATATGGTTAAATAATCTGCTCAAAGTCATGTAGCTGCTAACAGTAGAGCTATGTATATGTGTTCTTACCAAATGGCTCCAATGCTCCTCACCCATGATCAAACACTGTATCTGGGTCCTTGTAAAAACATGTACTGTTCAATGGAATATTACTTTTAGAAATATCAGAGTAAATGTCAAATTAGTCAGGTACTCAAATTTCATGGAAGACAAATATATTGGTCCAAAAATAACACCAAGTTTGGGAAGTGCTATAATTGATGTACACATGGGAAAATGGAGGGCTCACTCACTACAGGTGTGGGGAGAACCATTTGTAAATAGAAACAGCATATGCAAAGACATGGAGGCACAGAAGAGTGTGTTGAAAGGTGATTCATAGGTCAGAGGTACAGCAGAGACACTGATGAACTATTCTAACTTTAAGCCAGCATTTATTCTTTCTATTGGAAATTTCTGCTATATTACCTTGTCTAGTGGAATGCTAAGGAATGATATCCTTCTTTGAATTTTAAGTTCAATACTATTAAGTGTTGTTGATTATACACCAAAGAATAGAACTTCCATGAACAAAAATCCTTAACTTACCAGATGACAAAAGCATAAATTGCCCCAATGATGATAAAGATGAATGCATAATGCCAACAAAAGCATATGGTGAGAAACATAATGTTTTCATGATTCATTAGATCCCATGCAGGACCTCCACTGGGAGGATAAAGAACAAAACCAATCTGCAATTTAAAACAAAAAGCACACATTATAATAATCAGCCACATATCAAAATGCTTGGTTCCAGGATTAATGGTAACTAAGATAACTCCAATTATGTGAAATACTACAGAGAAGACATCAGGGGTTTTTTTTGTTTGTTTTGTTTTTACCAGTTTTAGTAATACAGACAGTAGTAGGTCATATTTTTTAAAACAAATTTAAGGACATTTAAAGATCAATTTCAAAATATGAATAGTAATTATCTCTGGGGATAGGTGGACTTTCAGAGAATGTGCAGTGTCACTTGATTACTTCAAAATTAGAGTGCAAAAAGGTTTTACAATAAATAAATGCCCACAGCTAACATTGTATTTAATTATAAAAGGCTGAAAGTTTTTCCCCTAATATCAAGACAAAGTATCTGATTTCACTACTTCTAATCAACATTATACTAGAAATTCTAGTCAGAGCAATTAGGCAAGAAAAATAAATGACATCTGGATTGAAAAGGGAGAAGTAAAATTATATATATTCACAGATATATCTCTATGGCTGGTATGGCTGTTAGTTGGGCATCATCCCTTGTACTGAAAGGTTTGTGGTTTGATTCCCAAAGACACATGCCCGGGTTGAGGGCTTGAACCCTAGTGGGGAATGCACAAGAGGCAACTGATGGATGTTGCTCTCCCACATCACTGTTTCTCTCTCTCTCTCTCTCTCTCTCTCCCTCTCTCTCTCTCAAAATGAATGAAAAGTCTTTAAAAAATAAAAACCCTAAAGAATCCACAAAAAAACTACTAGAACTAATAAATTAATTCAGCATAGTTGCAGGATACAAAATCAACATACAAAAGTCAGTTGTATTTTCGTACACATGCAATGAGCAACCCAAAAATTAAATCAAGAAAATAATTCCAGTTGCAATTGCACCAAAAACAATAAAATATTTACAAATAAATGTAATAAAGGAGAGTGCCACAGACCCGCCTGCGACCCACATGACATGACAGGCCAGGCGCTCGCGGCTGCCTCTGCCTCGCTGCAGCGCAATGGAGCGCCTGCGGAGCCTGCCGTGGCTCCAGCCACTCACGCTGGGGCTGCCCGCGCGCGCTGGCCTGGGGCCTGACCCCTGGGCGAGCCTGGCAGGTGAAATGCACCGGCTGAGAATTGATGTCACTCAGGCCACTTTAGTCAGTGTGGCCCCCGTGTTTACTGTGACAAAACTTGACAAAGGAGGAAATGTTACTTCTTTTAAAAGGGAAACTGACTTGTATCAAGAATTAGGTCTTCAAGCCAGAGATTTGCGGTTTCAGCATTTAATGAGCATCATCACCAGGAACAACCGGATCATCATGAGGATGGAGTATTTGAAAGCTGTGATAACTCCAGAGTGTCTGCTGATATTAGATTATCGTAATTTAAACCTGGAGCGGTGGCTATTCCGGGAACTCCCTTCACAGCTGGCCGGAGAGGGTCACCTTGTCACGTACTCGCTACCCCTTGAGTTTAGAGCAATAGAGGCGCTCCTGCAGTACAGCATCAGCATCCTTCAGGGGAAACAGCATGTCGGAGCCCCGGATCCTCGACACGCTGGAAGCATTGGTGGATCCCAAACACTTCTCTGTGGACAGAAGCAAACTGCACATCTTACTGCAAAATGGCAGAAGTCTGTCCAAGTTAGAAACAGACATCAAAATGTTCAAAGAGTCCATTCTGGAGATCCTGGATGAGGAGGAGCTGCTGGAGGAGCTGTCTCAGCAAGTGGGGCGACCCCGAGGTCTTTGAGCAGAGCAGCGCGGGCACTGACCACGCGGAGGAGATGGAGCTGCTGCTGGAGAACTACCACCGGCTGGCGGAGGATCTGCCCCACGCAGCCCGGGAGCTGAGGGCACTGATCGACGACTCCCAGAGCGTCACCTTCATCAACCTGGACTGCCACCGCAACGTCATGATGAGGCTGAACCTGCAGCTGACCACGGGCACCTTCTCTCTCTCGCCCTTTGGACTAATCGGAGTTGCTTTGGGGATGAATTTGGAGTCTTCCCTTGAAGAGGACCACAGGGTGTTCTGGCTGGTCACAGGCATCATGTTCCTGGGCAGCGGCCTGATCTGGAGGCGGCTGCTGTCATTCCTCCGGCGGCAGCTGGAGGCCCCTCTGCCTCCCATGATAGCCTCTTTACCTAGGAAGACCCTTCACGCAGCAGACGGCTGGACGTGAAGCAAAGCTTCTGGATGGATGGGCTGGGACCCAGCAGGAGCATACACACACACACACACACACACACACACACACACCCCGCCCCGTGAAGATGCAGCTTCCTGGTCGTCACAGGCAGCACTAGTGCTTGGCAGACCCGCGGCTGAAGCGCTCGCCGACAGTCTGATACGGCGTCTGTTGGAAAAGCTGCGGCCGTCACAGGACAGAACCTCAGCACATCTTAGAATTCCGAGGATACCACAGTGCTTGCTGTATAAAAGGCCGGAGTTCTGTTCTCTGCAACTCTTATAGACGTGAGACATGGAGGGATTAATTTAACAATAGATAATTGTATATATTTTATTTTATACATATTGAGAAAGGTACAGTGTCAGACCCAGTACAGCCAGGAAGCAGGACAGACCCTGTCACAAGCTCAGGCAGCTGAAGATCTCAGACAGAGACTCTGGTCCTCGTGACTGTTCTCACTGGGTGAGTGAAAAGCCAACAAAACACACATTAGCCTTAAACTCCGGAAGCGTGGGCTTTGACCCTGTCTCCGACAGAGTCTTATTTTCTTACATCCACTCCCCTTGCAGGTGAGTAAAAAGGCCATGGTCATTTAATATCAGCTTTATGTGGGTTCCAGTTAATCGAGATGTCACTTTTTTGATCCCTGAAACTGGCTTTCTTTGCTTGTTATAATTAAGGCCTTTGAAGGAACGAATGTCATCTGTTACAGGTTATAGCTGCACTGGTTGTTCCCTGGTCTTTGGTGGAGGTGTCCCCCCTTCCGTGCCCCCTTCCCGGCAGGAGGGTAAGAAAATGGTTCCAAGATCCCTTGTTTCCACACCAGAGTTCTGCGGTCAGAACAGTGAGTCTCAGGGCTGCTGTTCTTGACAGCCCAGAACATTTTCATGGTTCTAGATGCTAATGGCAGTTGTCCTTGCCCCCGAGATGGTGTTGGGGAGGCCTGGAGCATCCCTGTGGCAGCGGTAGAAAGTCATCACAGAGGCACAAGTGCACCCCAGTGCCGTGGGTACCCGACTCCAGAAGATGGGGTCAGAGGAGGAGACTCGGCCTGTTGAGTGGTTTGGTGATAGGAATGAAAATGTCCTTTCCCGCACTTGGCTGTGGCTTGGCTGTGAATGGCCATGAAAGACGCTGGGCCAGGGGCCCAGGGCAGCTCTCCGGGGGCAGGAGCTCACTCTGTGCTGTGGCTGACAGCACTGTCTGGCCTCTCAATCTGGTGAACAGACTTCTATCTCACAGGGCTCTCAGCTGCTAGTCTTGGTCTTATTATTGTAAAATGAGTAATACTACTTAACTGTGACAAAGAATTGGTCGACCAGAGAGCAGAATTTGGTTTGACTGTGATCATAGAATGGATTTGGTCTTTTCTTCTTCTGGTGTTAGCTTGTCTTTGGATCATTGTTTTTGATGAGTCACATCTCACTGATAGAAGGAAAATAATGTACCTGTTTCACAAGGCTGGTAAGGGGCTTGGATGTGCTGGGATGAGCGGGATTTCACATGTCGACGAGCTCGACTTGGTGGTAGTGAGGTGCTCCTTACATGAAGGTTCTCTTAAACCCTAACAGAGCCTATGCCAAAAATAGACCGAGTTCAGCGGTTTTAAATTTTGAATTAAAATAGACTGAGCACAGGGAGAGGGTGGATGAGATAAACCAAAGCACTTATATGCACGTATGTATAATCAATGGGCATAGACAACAGTGCTGGTGGGGGGTCCAAATTGGGAGGAGGGTGTCTGGGGTGGGGAAGAAACATCTGTAACAAAAATAAATTAATAAAAACTGCAACATGAAAAGAGAAAAAATGAAAAAAATAAAAATAAAATAGACTGAACACAAATGAGTCTTCGAAAGCAGGAGGTAGACCAGATGCTCGGTTGCATGCAGGAGTGAGTAGTCTATGCTGTGCAGTTTGTACAGGTCCAGGGCCTAGCAGACTCCTGCTGCCCTAGCAGGCAGGCCTCAGAGCGAGCTTCACACGGATGCTGCCAGACCATGCTGCTCCCACAGACTGCACACCGCTGCCCAGAACCACTGAGGGGCAGTTTGGGTGGGTTCCTCGAAGAGTTATGCAAGCTTTCTTTGGAATTACAGTATTAACCCACTTGAGAACACCTGTGCAGGTGGTCTAATGGGTGGAGCCTGGAGCAGGGAACTCAACCTGAGCTCGCCCAAACCCTCATGGTCGGTTAGCCTGCAAGAAAGTTGTTACATAGACAGAAACTGCAAATATATGTAAATGTGTTCTGATATCTTGAAATAAAGGCAGTTTTGAGTTTAAAAAAAAAATTAATAAAGGAGGTTCAAGACTTGTACACTGAAGACTATAAAACATTGTTAAAAGAAATCAAAAAAGATCTAAATAAATGGAAATGCATCTTATGTTCATGGACTGGAAGATTTAACATTGTTAAAATGGCAATAACACCCAAAGCAATCTATAGATTCAATGCAATCCCTATCAAAATCCCAATGGCTTTTTTTGCAGAAATGGAAAGCTGATCCTAAAACTCACATGGAATTGCATAGGACCCAAATAGCCAAAACAACCTTGAAAAATAAATAACAACAAAGTTGTAAGATTTACACTTACTAATTTCAAAATGTATTACTTCTGAACTCTCAATTCTGTTCCATTGGTCTGTTTTGCCAGTATCATACTCTTTTGATTATTGTAGCTTTATAATATAGTTTGAAGTCAGGGTGTATGATGCCTCTGGCTTTGTTCTTTTTTCCTATGATTGCTTGGGCTATGCAAGGTATTTTGTGATCCCATACAAATCTTATGATTTTTTGTTTGTTTTAATTCTTTAAAAAATGGCATTGGGATTTTGATAGGGATTGCATTGAATCTGTATATTGCTTTGGATAATATGGCCATTTTAACTATGTTGATTCTTACAATCCATGAACACAGAATATCATTCCATTTTATTGTGTCTTTTTCAATCTCTTTTAATAATGCTTTGTCCTTTTCAATATATAGATCCTTCATATCCTTTGTTAAGTTTATTCCTAGGTATTTCATTCTTTCTGTTGCAATTGCAAAAGGAATTGTTTTTTACATTTCTTTTTCTAAAACTTCATTGATAGTACACAGGAAGTAGTGAATTTTGGTACACTGATTTTGTATCCTGCAACTTTACTGAATTTGTTTCTAATAGTTTTTTTTTTTTTTTTTTTTTTTTTGGTGGAATTTTTAGGGTTTTCTATATACAGAATCATGTCATCTATAAAACGTAACACTTTAATTTCTTTATTCCCAACTTACATGACTTTTATTTATTTTTCTTTCCTGATCTCTCTGGCCAGGACTTCCAGAACTATGTTAAATAAGAGTGGTTAGGGCGGGCATCTTCGTATTGTTCTTGATTTTAGAGGAAAAATATTCTGTTTTACACCACTGAGTATGACATTTGTTTGTTTGTCATATATGGCCTTTATTATGTTGAGGTGTTTTCCTACCATATTCATTTTATTGATTGTTTTAATCATAAATGGATTGTTGTATTTTATCAAATGCTTTTCCTGCATCTATTGATAAGATCATTTGATTTTTGTCCTTTGTTTTGTTAATGTGGTATTACATTGGTCAATTTGCATTTGTTGAATTATCCTTGTGCCCCTGGAACAAACCCCACTTGATCATGATGTTTTTTTGTTTTTTTTAATGTATTGCTGTATTCAATTTGCTGGTATTTAGTTGAGTATTTTTGTGTCTGTATTCATCACAAATATTGGTCTGTTTTTTGTGTGTGTGTGTATTATCTTTGCCAGGTTTTGGTACCAGGATTATATTGTCTTCATAAAATGTGTTAGGAAGCATTGCCTCTTCTTTGATTTTTTTTTTTTTTTTTTTTTTGGAAGAGTTTGAAAAGGATAGGTATTAAATCTTCTTTGAATATTTGGTAGAAATCACTAAAGAAGACATCTGATCCCAGACCTTTACTTTTTGGGAGGGTTTTGTTGTTGTTGTTGTTGTTGTTGTTCAAGGAAAGCCTTTTTTTCTTTTTTTAATCTTCACCCAAGGATATATTTTTATTAATTTTAGAGAGAGAGGAAGGGTGAGGAAGAGAGAGACATCTATGTGAGGAGAAACATCAGTTGGTTACTTCCCTTATTCACCTTGACTAGGGATCAAACCCAAAACTTGGGTATGTGCCCTGACTGGGAGTTGAACCCACAACCTTTACTCTCCAACCAACTGAGCCACTACAACCATGGTCTTTTGGGGAGGTTTTTGATGGTTGTTTCAATTTCCTCACTGTTAATTGGTCTACTTAGATTTTCCAATTCTTTATGATTCCATCTAGGATGGTTATATATGTCTAGGAACTTAGCCCATTCTTTTAGGTTATTGAATTTGATGGCATATAGTCTTTCATAGTATTCTTATATGGTCCTTTGTATATCCGTGGTGTCTGTGGTAACATCTCCTCTTTCAGTTCTAATTTTGTTTATATGAGTCTTATGGTTCCAAGAGTCTAAATGTGCATTTTCTCTAGTCTGTACACTAGTGTTTTTATGCACTAGTTTAAGCATATATGGAGAAGTAGCAAGAGAGAAAATATAGTGAAAAGCAAATCACTATGTAATATTATTAGCTTAAGAGAAGTTTTGGCCATAATATTTATACATCACACATTGCAACAAAACATGGAAATATAATACATTCACCTAAGTCTCCAAACAATTTTTTCACTTTCAGAATAATCTAATGGTAGGGAGAGGTAGTATGACTAAACCTTCATTTCCTGCCAGTGTGTGTTTGCATTGGTATTAAATGTTCATTTTTCCTTAAGGCTTCAAAGTTATTTAGTCTGGCCAGCAGGTAAAAAGAGAAACTAGTCTAGACATACTGATAAGCAGAAAAAATTTTAAATAACCACAGATTTATGTCCAAAGACTTCAACCTTATAGCCCTTCCTCTGAAAAGTTTTGGGGGCAATAAGAAAACATTATTTTTCTGCCAAAAGGGGCAACATTAAACCAAAAAACTCTCAGTTGTGACAGCCTCCCTCAGATCTTTAACTAATTATTAATTATTAACAGAACACTAATTAGTTTAATTAATTCTGCTCCTATCTTTATTATTCTTTTCAACTCTCTGAGTTTCCCTTTGTTCTTACTTTCTAACTTTTTTATTTGACTATTTAGCTCTTTAACAAATTTGATGTAATAAATATATGTAGAATCCTGAACTCAAAAGACAGAATATACTTTCTTTTCAAATACATAGAACATTTGCTAGCACTGACATTGGGCTATGTCCCAAAGGAAGTCTCAACGCATTTCAAAAAGAACACATTCTCTGACTCAAAGCAATTAAATTGGAAATGAACAACAAGAAAAAGAGTATTTTTGGAAATTTAAAAGTATATTCTTAAATAACTCATATATTAAAGAGGAAAGCACATGGAAAATGTAACATTCAAAATTATCCAGGAATGAAAACTATCACACATCAAATCTAATGGGAGGTTACTATAGTACTGTGTAGAAGAAAATCTATAGCCTTAAGTGTATTTATCTAAGAACAAAAAGATTGAAAATAAATGAGCATTCAACTAAAAAAAGAAACACAGAACACAGTCTAATAACATTAAAGCAGAAACTGAAGATAAAGAGAGAAATTGACAAACCCATAACTATAATATAAATACTTTAACAGACTTCTATCAAAAAGTGAGCTATTAATGGGGTGACAAAACTGAGAAGTACAGATGGGTATTTACAAAATAGTCATGGGAATGTAAAGTATAGCAGAAGAAATATAGTCAATAATATTGTAATAACTATGTACAGTGCCAAGTGGGTACTAGAAATATCAGGGGGACCAAGTACATGGTTGTCTAACCGCTATGCTATACACCTGAAACTAATACAAAATAATATTGAATGTCAACTGTAATTGAAAAAAAATTTTAAGGAATATAGAATGCATAAACAATACAATTAAAGAATTCCTAAAGCTTGGCTTAATTCCTCACCTTAAGAGGAATCCTTTTCTTTTATTTTAGTTTCACTGGAACCGGACAATCAACCATCACTGTGCGCTGGAGCCCTGGGCCCTGGACCCGTGGGCCAGCACCTCTCCTGCTGGGCAGCTCTGTTCTATGTCTGGCCCACAGTGGGTTTGCTCTGCTTTCGTTCACACTATCTAATTGCAGCTAGGTATTTTTTACGTTCTTATTTTTTTTATCTTCTTTTAATTTCTTTTTCATTTTATAAGTAGTTTTGCTATTTTATCTGTCATTGTTACATGTTTGGAACAGAAGAGATACACTGAAGCATAAACTCACTATGTCATCTTGACCAGAAGTTATCTCTTTAAAGGTTTTTTAAATTTATTTTTACTTGTGAAAAGGTAATAATATGTGCACATGGTAAAACATTTTGACCAGGTGATTTAGAGTGCATAATAATGTTTCATATTCCATTCTATTTAGGTTCCCAGCAGATAATAGATAATCTTAAAAAAATAAAAAACTCTATACAAGCTGCTTAAGTTCACCAATTATCAATTTTATCACATTATAGGACATCTGTTATTTTTCCTATATCATTTTTTTCTTCAAAATAACCCTTAAATCTAGCCCCTCTTCACTAGCCTCTGCTCCAGCAGCCTTTCTACTCCCTTACATGCTGAAATACCACATCTTTTCTATCTTCTGTTTTGACCATGATGCTTCTCAGCCAGCCAGTGCCTTCTTCTCATTCCTCGTGTGAAATTCAAGTTCCTGAAATAACCTCATGATCCCAAATTTCTGCTCTCTAGTGACTAAACTCCACTTCTAAGAAGTCTTTCCTGATTAAACAACATTTACCTTTCATCCCAGATTTCCTTTACATCTCTATATAGATATTAGATTGTGATTGTCCACTTTCTATAAACTATATGTTCACTGAGTGGAATACAATTTTTCAACAACACACAAAGTTTAGGAATTTGACAGAGTAAAATGGAAAGAACCTGGGATTTGGGGTCAGATACCCACATTTAGATTCCAGTTCCATTATTCTGTGATCCTTGGGATTTAACTCTTTGAGTCCTCCTTATCAGAACATGTTGGGAATGATAACACCTAATTTATAAGTCATGGTGAGGACATAATGAAACAGTATGTGTGTGAAAGTCCTGTACAGTGGCTGGTACTTAGTCGTTTCTCAGTAAATAATAGTTTCCTCCATTTCCTGCCTTTCATATTTTTCTTGAGTTTACTACCCATTAGGCTATAAGTTGCATTAGCATCAAGAACTGCTTCCAACTAAAAGCACCAGCTCAGAGCTCCTACATTGTGGGTATCCGGTGTGTGGTGAAGATGCACTTACCCACTTTCTTCCACTGCTGTCACGGCTCCTACCAGGGCTTCTCTCAGAGGCCCACATTCTCACTACAGCAGCACAGCAGGAGGGAGTCTCTGGGTTCTAGGGCAATATACCCCACCAAACAGAGAGAAGGTTATAGGCAGAGACACCGGGTACATTAACTGGAGGCCCCCACTCACCTGCCAGAACCAGCTCCCCTGAAGCAGGATAAAGCTGGAGCGTAGAAGCTCCACAGTTACATTGTTGCGTGTGAAGAGCTCGATGAAGGCGACCAGGCCTGACAAAAAGACGACCAAGACCAGCAGCTGGTGCACAAAGATGTCCAGTATCTCCCGGCCATGAGTGTGGTTGTAGAAAACAAAAGCTGATAGTGGGGGAAAAATAGTTCATCTTTTTTAATGGAACCAGTTTCTCTCTCTCTCTCTCTCTCTCTCTCTCTCTCTCTCTCTCTCTCTCTCTCACACACACACACACACACACACACAATTTTACACACACACACACATTTATTTGTTCAAAATATCTGGTGCCCACTGTTTACAAGCTTCCCACATTAATGGCATTTAGGATCCATCACTACCTCTTTAAAATAGAATTTTTGAAATCTAGCATTCCTTTTCCCTTCCCCAGCCTTTATTCTCTCCTCTAACATATCATGACACTTTCAACTAACTAGATCTCAGAGCATCTTCAATGCAGGAAGATGAATAATAGCCATGGTGAGTATGAGACAGAAGTTAGGATGAGTGCACAGATGAATGAGACAAAGACTCAAGGAATCCAGTCTGTTTGAGGAAGCAAATGTATACATAAACTGCAAGATGCTCTGGAAGTTCCCAAGAAGGAGTAGCTAACTACATTTTTTTAATCGTGGAAAGCTTACAGCTTCGTCATCTTTTTTTTATTTAGATGAAGAAGAGAAGATTTTTCTTTAACACCCTGAGATAATAAGATTCAGGTTATTGGTGCCCATCTTTTATCTAGCCCTTGTCCTCAAAGAGGAGTTGGCCAAAGTTCTTATCTTCACATGTGGGAGGCAGGGTAGACAGTTAGGAAATGACCACCTCCTGATAATTTAGGGCTTTTAAAATTCCACAATCAATCTGTTTCTTACAAATAACAATAAATGAAACAAATCACTAAACATCTGTTTTACGGAGAGACCAACTGAACAAAAATTTTTGTATTTATTTGTCTCTCAGAAACAGGACCTCAGACTTCCGATCAAGCTGGCGGCATAGGTAAACACAGTCTCCCCTCCTCCCACAGCCACATCAAAATTACAACTAAACTACAGAACAAACATCCTTCAGAACCACCTGAAATCAAGATAAATGGAAGACCTACAACTACGACATTAAGAAGCAGCCACATCGCTCTGGCCAATTTGGCTCAGTGGTTAGAGCATCGGCCTGTGGTCCAGAGAGACCGGGGTTCAGTTCCCGCTAAGGGCACATACCTTGGTTTCAGTTTGTCCCTGGCTCTGGTTGGGGTCGTGTGGGTGGCAGCCACTCAATGTGTCTCTCTCGTGTCGATATTTCTCTCTCTCTCTTCCTCCCTTTCTCCTTCCTGCTCTATCTGAAGACAAATGCAAAAGTGTCCTTGGGTGATGGTTAAAAAAAAAAGCAGCAGCCACACCGAGACTGGTAGGAGGGGCAGAGGCACAGGCACGGACAGGCTGGTCCCACACCCATGTGTGGCGGATAAAAATCCGAGGGACACTTTGGCTGGGAAAGTCTTCCCTGAGAAGTGAGGAGTCCCTGTCCCACACCAGGCACCCAGCTCAGGGTTCCAGTGCCAGGAAGAGAAGTCCCCATAACTTCTGGCTGGAAAAACCAGCGGGAACTGAGGCTGAGGGAGGCTGAGGCAGCTGGAACCCCAGGGGGATCCTCTTAAAGGGCTTGCACATGGACTTAGTTGGACTCGCTCCCTCTGAGCTTCAGCACAGAGGGGAGGCAGCTTGAAAGGCACCAGAGACATACGAGGGCAAACTGATTTGTTTGGCATTGGGGCGAGAGCTGAAGAAGCAGTCTTCTCCTGGACAGACGTGCTGGTGGAGGCCTTTGTTCCTTTGGTTAGTCCTCCCCCATTCGCAGGCAGCAGGCCACCATATCTGGGACTCCAGCAACCTGGCTCACACTATTTTGCCCTACCCTGGTAATTCCCTGAGGCCCTGTCTCAACTAAATTCCAGGTCCACCCAAGCTGTTTCCAGTGCCTTTACCATAGGATTAGCCTGTCTGGGTTCATGCTTCAGAGTTTTCTACATTCTCTCAAACAAGTAGTACCTGACCTCAGCAAGCCCCATACTTCTCGCTAAGTGGCCCCAGGCCTGGCACTAGAAACAACCAGCCTTGGTTCACAGCTTGGCTTTCCCTGGGCACCTCCGAGCCCAGCACATGAAGCAGCCACCTACAGATCACTTTGTAGCTTATTCTTGGTGGCCCCAGGTAGAACACATGCAGTGGCTGACCTTGCCCCAGAGCCAGTACACCCAGGGGATAGCTTCAGACCGGATCGAAGCACCACCACCCAACCACCTCCACAAGCAACACACTCAAGGAGTGGACTCAGTGGTCTTGCTCTGTGGGGTGGGCCCCTGCACAGCTGATCTTCCAAGGTTGTTAGAAGTCAGTGGTCAGTGGGCACAGCCAGTCCTTGTAGCTGATCAGCCTGAGTAAATCCCTCCCATTGATGTGCCAATAGCAATCAAGTCCCGATTACAGCCCAGACAGTGTGGCTCAGTGGTTGAGCATTGACCCATGCACCAAGAGGTTACTGGTTCAATTCCCAGTAAGGGCACATGCCCAGGATGTGGTCCCAATCCCCAGCTAGGGGCAGGCAGGAGTTGGCCAATCGATGTTCTCTCTCATCGATGTTTCTATCTCACTCTTCCTCTCTCTCTCAAAATCAATAAAGAAAAAAAATTTTTTAAAGACTCAATTACAACAGAAGGGTATATAGTCCACATGAGTGATTTACCTTGAGGGTCAAGATGGGGTGATGAGGGAGGCTGTGCCACTGGACCTTATAGGACCCCTACTATAATAGGCCACCCTAGGAAGCCTAGAAGATATAACAACTCTACCTAATACATAGAAACAAGCACAGAGAGGCAGCCAAAATGAGGAGACAAAGAAACATGTCCCAAATGAAAGAACAGAACAAAACTCCAGGAAAAGAACTAAACAAAATGGATAGAAGCAATCTAATAGGTGCAGAGGTCAGAACACTAGTTATAAGGATGCCCAAGGAACATAGTGAGGACCTCAAGAGCATAAAAAAGCACCAGTCAGAAATGAAAAATGCACTAACTAAAATAAAGAATAATAAATAAAGAATAATTTACAGGGACTCAATAGTAGATTAGGTGAAGCTGAAAAGCAAACCATCAATTTGGAATATAAGGAAACAAAAACACCCAAGCAGAACAGCAAAAAGAAGAAAAAGAATCCAAAAAATGAGGATAGTGTAAGGAGTTTTTGGGACAACTTCAAGCATTCCAACATTCACATTATGGAGGCCCCAGGGAAGAAGAGAGAGAGCAAAAAATTGAAAACCTATTTGAAAAAACTTCCCTAATTTGGTGAAGGAAACAAACATACAAGTCCAGGAAGCACAGTCCTAAACAAGATGAACCCAAACAGATCCACACCAAGACATATCATCATCAAAATGCAAAAGGTTAAAGATGAAGAGAGAATCTTAAAAGCAGCAAGAGAAAAGCAGTTACCTACAAGGGAGCTCCCATAAGACTGTTGGCCTATTTCTCAAAAGAAACTTTGCGGGCCAGAAGGAAGTGGTAAGAAATATTCAAAGTGATGAAAAGCAAGGACCTACAACTAAGGGTACTCTATCCTGCAAAGCTATCATTTAGAATCAATAGACACATAAAGAGTTTCCCAGACACGAAAAAGCTAAAGAAATTTATCACCACCAAACCAGTATTATATGAAATGTTGAAGGGTCTTCTTGAAGAAGATAAAAAGTATGAGCAATAAAATGGCAATAAATACATATCTATCAACTATTAGATATGCAAACAAAATGAACAAGCAGAACAGAAAGAGGCTAATAGATTCAGAGAACTTTCTTGTCGGTTGCCAGATGAGAGGGTGGTTTGAGGATGGGCTAAAAAGTGAAGGGACTAAGAATTACAAATTGGTTGTTAGACTGAAGAACCTCAAAGGGAAGGGGTGCAGGAAGAGATAAACCAAAGAACTGATATATGTATATGCATAACCAATGAACACAGAAAATAGTGTGGGGAAGGCAGGAGGGGGGCGAGAGTTGGGAGAAAGAGGTTAAGGGGGGGGGGGGTAAATCTGTAATACTTTCAACAGTAAAAATAAGTTAAAAAAAAACAAAACACAGGACTTTATATTTTTATGTGACTGAGCTTTTTGAACCGTACTTGTTATGCAATGGTGAAGTGTTGCTATATCAATATGAAAAAGACTAGTTAGTAACAAGTGGAAGCTGTTCTGCTGAGTCTCCTCATTTCAGGATATTTGTGTTTTCACTACTCTAAGCTCAGCTTCAGTTTTAAAAACAGAAAAAAAATTATAATCTCCAAGATAACCCAGAGATAAATAACCATGGCAGGTGGTTCTTCAAGACAGATGTGACATGTGAATAAAGTACTTTGAATGTTTGCGTTTGTTCAGTTTTACTAAATGAGTCAGTGGGGAGAGAAAAACCTTTGGTATCCCACCTAGGGTATCAAATAGTTCACCATGGACCAAGGCTGCACCAGGACACTAAAGATATATTATTATAAAGGGCTAGACAAATGTCCAATAGTAGTGAAAGATACATAAAAATACTCACTCATACTTACCCTCCACAAATAAGGCATTTGAAAACATTAACTTGCTGAAAGAGGTAGGAAGTGAACTGATGGTGGAACACAGGATGCTTGTTACAGCCCACAGCCCAAAAAAGAAATACATGGTGGTGTGATGCCAGCCCAGGAGTTGGATCCACTGGCCTTCCTTATAGTTATACAAGGAGAGGTGGGGCCCTCCAACAATAAACTGTTCCCCAAGCATACCTGTAAAAGAATATATTAAAGTTTTAGTAACTCTCTTCATAACTTTACCAAGAAATTAGGAAGATGCAGGAGGATTAACCCACTGCTTAGTCCAATCTAGTGCCCTTTTATGACAGTAATTCCTATTTCTAGCCTGTTCCCTAATAGCTGAGCACTAGTGGTTTAGGCTTGTTTTAGAAATTCAAATATTGGTTTGGATAATCATTTTTAATCAAAGATAATTTAGTCTAAAAGCTATCTCAAATTTTTAGAGCTAAAGATCTCAGTTCTACTTATTTCATGACCAGTTCCACTGATGATCTTAGTTCCTAATTTAATCTAATGACAATAAATCCTGCATGATTTGGGGTTTTGATTTGTAAGATCCAGCCCACAGAGGCTGATTGCACCCTTCTCACACACTATGTCTCTGGTTAGCTGCCAGAAAGCAGGGAGTTGAGTTTGGTTCAGCATAAAAATGCTGAAGCTCAGCTTTTTCCCAATTAAGGACAACTGAGAAAGCACAGACAGATACAGCTTATGGTCTAGTAAGCTACGCAGTTAAGCATTCTTTAAAGTGCTGCTTTATTTGTTAACCTATAGAATTTGGCATTAAAATTTCTCTCTCGGGAAATGGTTGTTCTGTAATTTGATAGCCTTAACAAACACCTATGGCTATGAATTAAGCATGAAGAAATTCAAAGGATTATTAGGAAGTTTTGTCCTTCATAAAGGAGATACTGAAGTAGAATTCTAAAAACACAGAACATTTTCACAGAATCTTATACTCAATGGAAAGGCCTTCGAGGTCATCAAAACTAACATCCCTCTAAAATGTAGAAATCACACAAAAAGGATGAGTGCATGAAGCAAGTCCTCTTCAGCCTAACGCTCTGTACAGCCCATTATCAATGATCATTATTAAAGAATTCCCATAATTATTTGATTGTTTTGATATCATTTTGAAAAATGTTTTCTGATGAAGTTTGCTCTTTCAGGCATCAGAATACTTGGTATAAAATTATTTCAGAGGCTCCAGCTAATTCTACAAAGAAAATTAACCTTGCCCTGGCCGGTTTGGCTCAGTGATTAGAGCGTTGGCCCACGGACCAATGAGTCTCGGGTTTGATTCCAGTCAAGGGCACGTACCTCAGTTGCAGTTCGTCCCCGGCCCTGATTCAGTCATGCGGGAGACAACCAGTCGATGTGTCCCTCTCACATCAATGTTTCTTTCTCTCTTCTTCACTTTCTCTGTCTCCCTCCCACTCTATCTGAACAAAAATGGAAAAACATCCTCAGGTGAGGACTAAAAAAAAAAGAAAGAAAAGAAAGTTAACCTTGAGTGGGTGGGCAAGTTAATTACCGTGACTAAGTCATTAAGGAATAAACCTTTGTATAAATATAAAGTATTTAGCCCTGGCCAGCTTGCCTCTGCGGTTAGAGTGTTGGCCCGTGGACCGGAGAGCCTTGGGTTCAGTTCCCGCTAAGGGCACGTACCTCGGTTGTAGTTTGTCCCCGGCCCTGGTTGGGGTCGTGAGAGTGGTAACCACTCAATGTGTCTCTCTCACATGGATGTTTCTCTCTTTCTCTTCCCCGCTCTCTCCCTCCTGCTTTATCTGAAGATACATGCAAAAATATCCTCGGGTGAGGATTTATAAAATAAATAAATAAATAAATAAATAAATAAATAAATAAATAAATAAATAAATAAATGAAGTATTTATATAAATATAAATAAGATAGAATTACAATCAGAATATATGTTCTGAGATATTTTAAGGTAAAAATTCATTTTAGCAGTTCCTTGATTTGATATTAAGTCTTGTCTTTGTATGTGAAAATACCCTAAAGGAGAAAACAGAATTCAGAAATAGTCCACTCACCAGTTAAAGCCATGCAGATTAGCACAATTCCCTCCACAATGTCTATTCGACGGGACAGTGCTTTGGAACCAAGATAGGAAGCCCGCTTATGCTTTCTGCAGGCATGCTTCACAATGCTCTTTAGAGTCCACCAAATGCCAACGATGATGAAGAAGGTTCCGGGGAGGGCGTGACCTTTGAAACTCCCCATGATTACTGAGATAAGAACATATAGAAGATGAAAACATTTTATTTCCAGAACTTAGCCAAAATATCACTTGTTCCCTATTTTCTGATGATTATGGATACACCACTGATTCAGAAGAAATGATAAAATTATATTACTGTCAACAATAGTAGATCCACTACAGTGTCAGTAGTACCAGTAAGAAGAAAAATTCTCAGTCTTTGCACACTTACCTTATTCTAGGCCTTGTGCCACGTGTTTTACATGAGATCTCTAACCTAATTTTTATACCATATCTATGAGTGAGAGATTAAATCTCATTTTCAGTTGGGATACAAGTTTAGAGAAGTTAAATGACTTATCAATATCTCACAACTATTAAGTGAAAATTTTGTTATTTTTTTAACAGAGAGCCCAAAGGATTTCTTAAGCATATTTGAAGGAAAGTAATATGAAAGTTTTACTTTTATGTTTACAACTTGAAATGATATAAAATTGCCTACAAAAATTTTTTTTAAGTAGGTAATTTCAAAGTATCAAGAATCAAATATGTGGAAGAGACTACAGTGTGCATCAAGTGTCTGTGTGCTTCTCCACACACTTCTCCCAGCCGGCCCCCAGTTCAATCAGAATCATGTTTCTAGTTCTGGCCAGTTGACTGTGGTATTTATCACCATCTGAATGAATCACTTATGAGACTACACCACTCCTTTAGCTCTCTTCCCCTGTCTTGTCAACCTTAACAGGGCACGTCTGCAATACAGAGGATGGCTAACCAGCCTGCTTTGGATTTTGTGCAACCCTTGATTGTGCCAAGTTATTGAAACTTTGAGGCTTAACAGCTTAGCCCAGCTGTTAACCCAGATAGATATCAAGGCAAATCAATTGTAAATTCTGTTTACATGATTGCAGCATGTTGAAGAAATAATAAACAGAAATGTCCTCCATTCTTGGTCAGTGCTATAGAAATCAGTCTTGAATTATGTAAGTTTTTGATTATGTGAGCAGCCTTTTGTTCAAATGTATGATGCCAGCAATGGAATAATGAAGAGAGAGTTCAGAATCATCCTTGTAGATCTTACCATGAAAGGGGCCTTCAGTGTTCCTCTGGCCCAACAGCGTTCTTTATCTCCATGGCTGGGTATTGGGCCTCTCAATTCAGGGCAGACCCCTTTGGGTTACTTCCACATCCCTCTGATACAAGTGTGGCATTTCAGGGGGGACTGTGAAACTGACTCTGATGCTAAAATTCTCTTAAATATCTACTCAAGACCCCAAATGGACATTTCAGCATACCCTGAATCATGCAAAACCATCCAAGAGACTGACTCAATAGATCACATAGTGCTAAGTGCAGGTTCTTCTAACTCTGACTCTAATTAGTGCTATGGTTTGGGGCATGTCCTTAACCTCTTTGGGCCTTTGTTCTTAACTAATAAAAGTAAAGGTGGCCTAAATAATACCTGGAGTTCTTTCCTTCTCTAGCATTCTGTGCTCTATTATCTGAACCACCATGTTCATCATAGTTCTCCTGTTTGTCTTGGTTTAGGCAATGCTATGAGATTGAAAAATACTTTTATATGGGATTAAAAACTACATCCAGGCTAAAAAATTACTGGAACTTTTCTGGGGGAAAAAATGATATGTTTTAAGGAGACTTAAAGGGACCCACTTCCAGGGTATTCTAAAAATATAACTGGAAATGCAGGCACCCAATTAAAAGCAATAAAGATGTCTAACATTAGGAGAATGATTATATACATTTTGTAGCCACTAAAAATAAAGTTTTCAAATAACTTATATAACAGGAGGTATATTTAATGAAAAGAATTGGATTTTTAAAAAACGGATTAAGGGTTTGGATTCAGGCTGACTAGAGATGAATCCCAACCCTATCATTTACTAGCTACATGACTTTGCGCAAGTTATTTAACCTCTAAGTGCCTCAGTTTTCTCTTCCATAAAATGGGACAAATAACAGTACTTACCTAGTAAAATGAAAATGAGTTACTCCAAAGCAACTAACCCACAGTAACATGCTTGTGTTATTCTCAATACACCTCAAACTACCAAAGTAAAACTGAAGTAAATCAGATGAAAAATTTTACTTTAACATTAACTGCTGAAAAGCAAGAAGCACCTATATAATTCTCTTGGCCATTATTCATGTACAATCTACAACATTTCTTCAGCTGCTGTCTTAGAGGGTTACTGGAATCTTTTGTGATTATTTAATTTCTTGACTTCAATTAGAGAATAGGTTTCTTGAAAGCAGGGACCATAAATCTATTCTTTCTAACCCCACCCCCCAATTGAACCTGGATAGTGGCTTAATCACTACAAAGTTCTAAATTAATAAGAGTAACTAAGCCCTTCTTATAATACAGGGTCATTTATTTAAAAATATCTCCACTCTGATGTCTCAAAGTACACTCATATTCAACATACCCCCAAACTGAACTGATCACAGTATCCACTCACCCACTGCCAGAAAATAATTTTTTCCTCAGGTAGCTATTTTGGTTAACACCACCACTCACCCACTTGCTCAAATTCAGATCATCCTAGAGTCCACTATATCCCTGAAAACTAATTAGTTATTGAGACCTATTGCCTCTACTGCCTTACCCTTCTCTACCCCAAATTTGGCTGACTTCCCCAGCCCTTCAAGTGTATCTGCTTGGAGAATCCTTCCTGATGGCCCAGACAGGAGAGAGGCCTTCTTATACCTTTTCAAGGTACCCAGTTCGCCCTTTAAGGAATTGTGTGTGTGATCAGTTATTGAGGTCTGTCCTCTTCGTTATCCTCTATGTTTATCGCTGTATTGTAAGAGCCTATGTAGCAAGCAACTGGGACCTCTCAGAGGGTAGGGGCCTCCATTTTTTGAAGTTCCTGGTATATTAAAAAAGAAACTGCCAAAACAGAGTTACAAAAACTGTGGTTCTTTAAATGTTTAGATTCACCTAATAAATACTTTCAACACACACATAAAATATATCGCTGATGTTGATGATAACATGAAAAATTAAATTTGAGACCCTTGCTAAATGTGCAGCTGTAGGCCAAATCTTCCTAACCTACCTCCACACACAGCTAACAGCTTCCTGCTACCTGAGGGGCTGAGCGAACCAGTATCCCTCGGCACAGCCACTGGGATGTGATAGGGACAGAGGCGAAGGGAAGGAAGTAGTTGAAGGTTTTTAAAGAGGGATAGGAAGTAATCTGAGTGAGGGGGAAAATGAGTCCTTGTTTCTCCTTCAGTTATAAAACTTATGTATCTTTAGCTTTTTAATCTAAAACAGTCTGGTGGTTCCAATGATTTCTGTTAAATGACCCACACAAAATGAAGTCAAAGCAGAGTTGCTCCATTTGCCTGACCCAACAAACTCACTCGCTCTTGGCACCACAAATGACATTCATTTTACTTCATTATCAACGTGGAAAGGAAAAAAAATGCCTAACTCCTCAAATATTACTTTGGTGTCCTCTCCCAGATGACACCATTATCTATAGATCTATGTTTTTGTCCTCTGCTTTACTATTCCCCACAAGTACAACTTATTACTTATAAAAACCAAGTACTCCAGATTTTGATTAGATCTTAATCCAAAGAACAAGCACATTTCAGTTGGAAAGAGAACACAGGGCTTTTCTCACTCACAAAGCAAAACATACCTGCCAGACAGCCAGCAGAAACCCCAGGGAAAATCTCCAGGCAAGGAAACAAAAAGGTCCTTTTTCAACATTCTCCCTGCCTGATCTCACCACTTATAACCTCGCAAAGGGAAAGTGGTTCAACCAGGCCTACAAGGGCACAAGATTCAATCACTGGCTTCTAATTGCAGTTCATCCTAAAAAATTCACACTCCTCCCCCATCAAAAACCCCCTCCAGTATGTGTGCGCACGCACACACACACAGACACACACACCCAAAAGGGAAATATTTTAAAACTCTAGCACTTAGAGATAATATCAGATATGTCCTAAGATCTAAATCAGGTGTTCGGTGTTAATTCTCAGTGTCACAGTCACATAAATTACAGGCCAGGCCTTGCATTGCTCAGAGAAATATTCCTCAGAGAAATAGCTCAGAGAAAAATATTCCACAGTTTTCTTGGTGGAATCTCAACCAAATGGCTAACTTCAAGAAAAAAATGAATAGCATGGAGGAAGACTTAAACCAAAATTTCTCCTTGAGCCCCTGATAAAATAAAGTATTCCTAAATTTTAATTAATGACTCGTATTTCAGGACACAGTTGTAAATTCCAATACGCTAAACCAATCTGAACTATTTCTTAATCTTCTCTTCACTATTTGCCTTAACACCCAAAGCAAAGTGTATACAAGTATATGTAAATTTTTTATTCTCCAGCATTTCGTACTAGCACTTTGTCTCCCAAATTTCAATTGTTTTGAAAGATTTCTTAGTTAAACTATCCTTACCTTCACACTTTTCTCAATGTCAAGTTCAACTCAATTCTCTTCCAAGAATTTATATGGAAGAGCAGATACTGATCGGTCTCAATTTAAAACTCTTCTTCCTTGAAGACTAAACCAATGGGCTCATATTTCCCAGTGTGAAGTCAGCAGATAAACCTTCAGAATGTCACAATTCCTGCATAAATATGAATCTAGGGACCACGCCCTTTTGCACATTATATCTCTCTGTCTAAACTTGTGCCATAGTATATTTCCCAATGAGACTCACCTTGTCACTCCACCCACATGACCAGCAACTTCAGGAATGTACCAGAAGCAAAGCCAGTAGGGCATGTATGATCTTCGCTATCTCTCTTCCAAGTCATCAAGATGAACATAAGACAAAAGGAATGGTTATGGCAGCCGTAACATATAGAGCCTGTCGGACAAGTCATAAAGACAATCCATTTCCTAACACACAGTACCTTAAGCAAGAGATTGCCACAGGTACTAGTGCTGGAGTCATGACCAAAACCGAAGTGACAGGAATAGCAAAAGATGGTGGGAAAAAATTGTGATAGGTCAATAATGAAGTTCACTCACTCTCA